AGTTATTTTTCATAGTTTGCTCCGGTAACTATGGAAAATTGAATTGTTTGAAAATAACGGGACTGTCAATTTGTAAATTCGATTAATAATTTAAATAGTTTAATTTTGTTTCTGAGCTCTGCTAATTGTGGAATTCGATGAAGATGAAGAGTTTGAAGGTGATGTTAACGTTAGTATTAGCACAGTATTAGTGAGATTAAGAAAAAGGCCGACGCAGCGAATGTGTGTTTGATTCCGGTGCTGTCATGATAACGTTTTACAGGCAAGGTGCCTGTAAAGCTGCCACGGTAACGCTTTACAGGCTGGGTGCGTGTAAAGGCTAATTTACCGAGTTAGTTCAGACGACAGTAAAGGAGCTTTAACAAGACAAGAGGAAGTAAAAAAGTAATTTTCATCTACAAAACGTCAGCGTTTATTAAAATACTTATGCCATTTAGTAGGTACAATTAGGTTAATACATTTAAAGAAAACTTCTGTTTAAGTAAGACAACATTTTGAAAAGTGTTTAAAAATCAACTGATCATCGTATCGTATAAAGGACGAGTAAAATTATACCTAATGTAGCTGATTTTCGAAACTACGATATGTAAGCTTCTATGCTTGTATTTTGTAGAATAAAGGACCAATTTCAAGTTGGATTTGCGATATTCCAAGTCCACGTTGATATGGAAGATGTGATGACACTGATGACAATAATATGTAGATATTAGGCCCAATTCTGAATCAAACCCGTTAAAATTTAAAGGTTGTTAAAAAAGAAACAACCAATCAGATTTACGAATTTAACTCGTTACTATGGAAATTTACAATTTAACACCCTTTAAATTTAACAACTTCGATTCAGAATTGCCCCTATTCACACTCAAATACAGTCTTTTAAATTAAAAATACTTGTCATGAAGCCTGATAATGGTTGGAAAAAATCGGTCTAAAGTTATTTACACAGAACTTCCAGCCGCTGTACTTATTCTTCGAAAGATTACAAAATTTATTTATTTTTTGATAATGCCTATCAATAATTAAAATAAAGATATGCGATAAAGTGTTAAAGTAAAATTAACGAGGCACGCTTATGCATAGACATGTTTGAAGTCAATTTTCCCGTTATAAATTTTGTGTTGACCTGATGACGTTATCAACATATTACCAAGGAGACGTGTGTCAAGTTGAATAACTGCAGTGTAATATAAAAAATAACAGTATTGTAACCCCAAATTTTCTGAAATATTGAGTAGGCCGTTCTTGACTTGATCAATAAAATAAATTTTCTCATTCAGTAGTTATTTTTTTGAGTCACTCTATATAGCAACTCTAAAAAATGTGAATGCACTAATAATCCACAACTATCGACTTATAACATTTTGTACATTTGAGATAGGATTTATTCGGGAAAACTTTAAGATCACGTCATCAAATTTTTGGGATTTTCCTTGCTTACTAAAACCAAGCGTCCAATTTTCAAAATTTTTCCAAAAAATGGTTAAAATGGGGTCAATTGTCTGACGAAATATCCACAAACTGATGCTGCAGACAATTTTAGAAATCGAAGTTAACTGAAAGGAATGTTTGGTATTTTTTGGACGATTGTTTGGAAAACCAACCATTTCGAATCTTCTCAATTATTGAAAAAATGAACTTTATCTTCAAATAGGTAAAAAATCGAAAAATCTGGAAATCCATACTATAACTGATTTATGAAATATTCAAAGACAAAACAAAAATGATCCCCCAAAATTCTAATAACTCGTCTCAAAACAATGCACAGAAAAATCACTGAGATTTTTTCAAATTAGTAACAAAAAAAGGGGTCGCTGAGGTTCTTTCAAATTACTTCAAAAACAAGACAAGGGATCTTTGAGATTTTTTCAATCTACTTCAAAACTAATACACAGAAAGATCCCCGAGATTACTTCAGAAACCAAAAAGGGATCCAAAGATTCTTTAAAACTACTACAAAAAAAAAACAAAAAGTCCCCGAGGTTCTTTCAAATTGCTTCAAAAACAATACATAGAAAAAGCCCAGAGATTCTTACAAATTACTTTAAAAACAAGACCAGGGATCTCCGAGATACTTTCAAACTACTTCAAAAAGGCTGCACAGAAACATCAACAAGATTCTTTTAAATTACTACAAAAACCAGAAAGGGATCCACAAGGTTCTTTCAAACTACTTAAAAAAACACACAAGGCGTCCCCAACGTTCTTTCAATTACTTCAAAAATAAGATAAAGAAACTTCGACATTCTTACAAATTAATGTAAAAACAAGACAAGCACGAATCTCCGAGATTCTTTTAAACAACTTCAAAAACAATACACAGAAATATCCCCGAGATTTTTACAAATTACTTTAAAAACAAGACGAGAGATCTCCGAGATACTTTCAAACTACTGCAAAAACAATACACAGAAAGATCCCCAAGATTCTTTCAAATGACTTCAAAAACCAGAAAGGAATCCCCAAGATTCTTTCAAATTATTGAAAAAACAACACGGAGTCCCCGAAATTCTTTCAAATTACTTCATAAACAAGACAAGCGATTTTCGATATTTTTTAAACTATTTCAAAACTAATACACAGAAACATCCCCGAGATTCTTTCAAACTACTTCAAAAACAAAACACAAGGATTTGCCGAGATTTTTTCAAATTTCGTTAAAAACAATACACAGAAAAATCCCAGACACTCTTTTAAATTGCTTTAAAAACAAGACACTGAATCCTCGAGATTAAATTAACGTAAAACAAGATAAGCAGGGATATTTAAGATTCTTTTAAACTACTTAAAAAACAATACACAGAAAGATTCTAGCGATTCTTTCAATTTATGTACTTCAAAAACCAGAAAAGGATCCCAAGATTCTTTCAAATTACTAACTAAACCTAGAACATTGACAGGATTTCAGAGCATTTGTTTCTGCGGTTTCAAAGTTACTTTATAAAACATCATTATACAAATTTGTTTTTTTTCAAAATCTAGAGGTTTAAAGTAAAAAAATTGGTCGAAGATTATTTCGACAGAACTTCTCTCGCTCCTGTTGTACAGTAAATCACATCCAACTTTTTCGAAAAATTACAAAATTTGATTTTGCGAATTTTATTTTTACGAGAAGTTAAAAAAATACATGTATGTAATGTTACAGTAAACACAAAGACGCGTGCTACGGGCATGTTTCAAGTGAGTTTTTCCTTTACAAAATTTTCTGATAACGTCATCAACATCATCAGGAAACGTTATCAATTTGGATGGTTGCCGTGTAATCCTAATATAATAGTATTGTATTTTCTGGAAAATTGAGTGAGCCGTTCCTGATTTAATTAAAAAATAAGTATATTGATTTATTCACTAATCTTTTTGAGTCACCCTGTATAAACAATTCAAAATAATATGAACACAACGATAAATTGGAACTACTCACAGATTAATCATATTTTGCACATTTCTATAGGATTTATTCGGCAAAATATTACTATTGCTTCATGTTGTTGTTAATTTTTTTAAATAATTTTTATATCTTTGGAAAGCTTGCTTTAGCTCTCATAAGTCACCTTAAAGTAGTTTCTGAGCGTAAATATTATTTTCTAAGGGTGGATATTTCATGTCAAAAGAAGATAACAAATACGTACTTCAGTGAATAGCTAATTTTGTTTCCTTTACGATTTATCACTTCTAAAATTAGAAAAAGTAGGTCTGCCGTTTTGATCTGTCGATCGTTATACTGTTCATCTGTCTGTTGAGGATTTGTTTCAAGTGTATTTTAGAATGACCGTGTAAATCGCAGTACGCTAATTAAAAATGTTGTAACCAAAATATTAAAAAAAAAAATACTTTTTATTATAAGAAAACACAATACATTTCGAAGATCTGTATAAAGCTTACAACTTGGTGAAGCCACATTTTGGGGGCTAAGCATTTGCGCGACCTCAATTTTCTTTTTTAGGGTGTCCTCCACGTAGGCTTCTGCTACTCTAGAGTACTTCCAGCCTCCATGGCGTTTTAAGGTTAATAAGTCTCCACCACGGTTGGCCAGTTGGGTGGCACCTGACCTTCGGAAACAGTGGCCAGTAAAAAGTCCTGGTTGAGGTAGCCTAAGAAAAATGGCAATTTTTTAGATACATTCCCCATAATATTAATACCAATTGGATTATTGACACAGCGTCCATTTCTACATGTCAAAAAAAATCGTTTATGGGTTGTATTTTTAGGACCAAGACCAGCGCATTTCTTGATTAATTAATCCATGTTCCTTCAGTTGTCATGAATTGTCTCAGTAAATTATTTTTGGTTTTAGGAATGGACACCATAATTGACTCCTCGTTATATTTAATATACTTTGTAGAGATGTTTGTGAGTTCCTCAAGTCTGCAGATTTCACTGTAACCAATTATTAAGATGACCTAAAATAGATACACATAAATTTTGTATAAATGCAGGTTTAACACGTAGTTTATAATAAAAATAACAAAATTGAAAAATTACAATAAAATTAGTGGGTATTTACTTTCATGGCCCGATAAATTTTGTCATCAGCTTCTGATAGAAATTTATTGATTTCATATTCTTCCAAAATTATAAACTTCTTTGGTACATATCCCTCAGAACACCGTTTTAAAATCGCTTGAAGTTTGCGATATTTTGAAATTCTTTGCATTCTTTGTCTTTGTAATTTTTTCATTATATGTTTTTTCTGTTATCTATTTCATTCTTCTGCTAACCTGTCCGTTTTTTTAGCTTTGCGGTGGTAATAACCACCACTCTCACAAACGTTTTCGCGGAATTTTGTTGTGTTATTTTCTTAAGTTTGTGTTAGTAGATTACTTTCAATGTTGTGAAACTATACTAGTAGCTTTAGCAGTATTATTACGTTTTCTGTAGGAATATGTATGTACAATATTATGTAATTGCCGATGTATGTTCCATTTTCCCCATTTGTTACTCTAAAATAATATTTTAAACTTACGAGTAATTTTCATAATAATAAAGCATGCTCACAATCGATAATTTCCTTTTAAATTATGGGAACAAACTAATAACGGTAACGTAATAATTGTAAAGCAAGTATGTTTCTATCGTTAGCTGGAAATCGAGGGACATATTACATCCTACAATTTAAATATACAAACAGTAAAATAATCATTCATACAAAAGTCATCAAAGGACTTTTATGAAATTATTCTGCAGTAATACTCTTATAAACCAGAATTTGCAACTTTTGCTTCAACAATTACTTTTAAGGTAAAACGGTTGATAAACGTCTTTTGAGAACACAGTTGCAGACTACACGCTGAAATTTTTCTGGTAAGTTTCTAAAAATTTTGTCTCACAAATTACAACAATTGCAAGTCCTCAAAATTTTGCTTAAAAATTGTTCCTTTGAATTACAAAGCATATGTTTTGATTTAATAAGTATCACCAAAGCAAATATCTTAACACTTAACACTCATAACTAGCATTTAATAGAATTAATATGAGAAAAATTAAAACTACAGCTGATTTCACAAAAAACGGGACAATATGAGCAAATCAGTTTCTCATAGATCAAAGAAAAGCAACGGGAATATGATGTTCATGTCAGTGTAATTTTCCCGTTATTTTTTTGAAACCAGCTGTAAATAGTTAGTTCAGAAAATGAGTGAGGCAAGTACAAATTCTTGTTTTAGGTTACCATCATGGATGACGTTAATAATAAAATTATAATATGTAGATCAACAAGAAAATACTTGAGATATATTTTACTATGGCCTTATCCTCACGAAGAGCTCAAGTCAGGAAATTATTATACCATCCAGATTGGGGTTTACATTTTTGTAACTTCTATTACATCTTTATCTATACTAATACATTTAATAATCACAACTGCAAGTACTATTGGATACACAGTGCAATTTTTCTTAATATCTGGGACATTTTTTAGAAAATTTAGAAGTTCCGGTGATGGAAGACGTCACTGTTTTGGCATCGATTACAGGAATATACTATATGACATTTATTTACGTAAAAAATCAACCAAAATTAGCAAATCTTTTAAGAGAAATGTCAAATTTCCAAAATTTTGGAAAACCAACTAATTTCGATCAGAAGGAACGAAATTTGAGTTTACTCTCTAAAGCTGTTTTTGTTTATCTCGCAATTTGCGTGACACAGTACAATGCACTGAAATTTAATAAAAAAGAAGAGTGTGAGGAGAGAAATAAAAACCAAGGCCTTAGAGAAAATTGTGGATTTATTACACAACTTTGGACTCCTTTCAGTACACAGAATTTTGTTGTTTACTATTCGTTGTATGCATACGTATTTCTCTCCATGCAGTTGTTAATGAAACCAAACATGTTACTAACTTATCATGCTTTTGAAATTACAGAACATTTGATTTTAAGGATTGAACATTTAAACCAGATGTTTTATGAATGTTTTGACAATGTAGATTATAATTGTTGTCGCTCTAGACTATCTAAATGTATTTTGTATCACATACATATACTGAAGTAAGGTTTTACAGAATACGCCATCTGGTAAATTGATTTTGATGCACATCGATTTTACAGTTTAATTTCCATAACCTAACAATACGAAAAAGTTATAGGAAATTAGGAAATGTTTTTAAATCAATCTCTAGTCAGTTCATAGATACAAAAAAATTAAACTCTAAAATATCATTGTTCACTGTCAAAACTATAGTTCAGTTCACTATTAATATTCTTTTGAGAAGTTTAAAAATGAACTGAGAAAATATGTTAATAAGTTGGTTTTTAATTCACATCTAAAATTCCTGTGTTTCAAAATTAGTTTACCACCGGGAATTCTTCTGCAATAAAATATTTATTTTAGTTTAGCTAAATCACTAGATGAATGCTTCTCGAATGGAATGTTGACTCATATCACTATTACAGCAATAATTTGCGCTTGCATAGGAAAACAGTTTACAGAAGTATACAAAAGTAGAAGTGTTTTTTAATAAAACATTCTAAATATTTTAGGGGGATCATCTATGTGCTGTGATACATTTTTCCGGCTGGATTTTTACTCTAGCATTTGCTTGTTTTTCGGGGCAACAGCTAATTAATGCCGTAAGTTACAAGTTTTTATAAAATTTTTGTAACAGCTGCTTTTTTTAGAGTGAATCTATTCCTTCAGCTATATGGTTTTCAAAATGGTATGAAGTGGATATCAAACTGCAACGCGAAGTGTTGTTCGTACTGGCAAGATCTCAAAAGACTTTCTATCTCACTGCTGGCCCTTTTAATGTTCTTTGTTTTCCTCTGCTTGTTTCGGTAAAATTTAGAAGAGTCCATACATATGTAATAATTGCAGTTTTTACAGGTGGTTAAAATGTCGTATTCAATGCTTTGTTTATTAACAAAATAAAATAGCGAGTTGCAATTCGTCAGGTTGGATATACACTGCTGTTGAGGAGTCACTTAGTTATTTTAAGAAGGAAAAAAATCGGGGTAAATGACCATGTAATAATCCAAACAACCACAGAAATAGAGCTCTTGAAAATAAACAGATTAAATTTTATTACTAATCAACCCCTACTAACCAGTATTTTAATATAAATATATTACTGACATAGTCGTCTTTGTGGACACATTTACAGCAGGAATAAAAGATAAATCATCCTAACATACATTTTGTCCGCAGTGAAGTAACTTCCAAATAGTGATAATTTTTCTAAAGTATTTGCGAATCCAAGGTAAGTAAATATTTAGTTCTGCTTCTGAGCGATTTCTGAAGGAAGGTATTTCTCGTTTTTTTTTCCATGGGGTTCTGTCGCAACCATTGTGAGACCATTCCAAACCATTTTTGTACAACAGCGATCCTTGATTTGAAGTCTTGGTCAAAGAAGATCGTCGATCTTCAGTCCGAATTAAAAGACCTGAAAACCGAGGTCAGCAGTTTAAAATCGCTTCTGGACGAAAAAATAACCGAAAGAAGTGTAAATGCTGTAGATAACTCCTCAATTAATCAGAACTCTGATTGCAACATGATTATTAATGAAGTGCTTGAACGTCAAAAGCGAGAAGCAAATGTCATAATGTTCAACGTAACGGAATCACAAAAAATCTCACATACCGAAAGAGTTTCAGAAGACACTATTCTGGTTAAAAAACATCTTGAATTAATTGTACCTGACATCAACACCAATAATATCAAAATGTTTCGTCTTGGCAAACTAAATACCACCACTTGTCGACCAATTAAAATAATTTTCAATCCCCCAAAGAGGCATATTCTGTTTTACGTAATAAAAGAAATCTTAATAATGGAATAAAGATCCAACCTGATTCCACACCTATGCAAAGAGACTATTTTAACTCGATCAAAGAACAACTTCGCAAACTCCATGAGAACGGTAATACAAATAAAACTATTCGATTCATAAATCGTGTACCCAGAATTGTCACAAAAAACTAAACAACAATCATGGCTATCTGGATTTATTTTACCAAAACGTTCGCGGCTTAAGGACTAAGTTAATCGATTTTCTACATGAAACTATTAATCTGAACTATGATGTAATCGTTCTAACTGAAACTAACCTCTGCAACAACATCTCTGATTCTGAACTATTTGGACATAATTACACAGTCTACAGAAAAGATCGTAATCCATCTACAAGTGATAAAGTTAGTGGCGGTGGTGTTCTTATTGCGGTGCTTTCTAAATACTCATCAAATGTCCTCCATACTCCAGAAAATCATTGTGAGAATATGTTTGTGTCCATTAACCTGGATCAGCACCATTACATCATTGGAGCAGCCTACATACCTTCTTCTTCTAACGACGATGTTTATCTAAATTATATGTCTTCCGTGGAATTTATTAGAGATCGTCATCTATACAGTGATATATGCTTTTTAGGTGACTTCAATTTACCTAATATTAGCTGGTTACCTAATTCTAACGCTAATCTTAGCCTTGTTCCTGTTTTAAAATACAATCATATGATTGACAATGTCTTTGTTGATTCACTTAACTATTTGGATATTCATCAGTTTAACCATGTTTTAAATTGTAATAACTCCTGTCTTGACTTATACACATCTCTGTAATAACTTAGCTTACAAACTTAACTTCAAAAATGCTCGCTATGGTGAAATTAACGACTACTTTTTTACTATAAATTGGAATAATTTGTTTTCAGTTATAATATAACAAGTGATATGATTATTATCGATAATATTTCGAGTGAAACCGAGCTGCAGATTCAACGAGTGCGAAGCGCGAGTTGAATGTGCTGCTTCGGTTTCACGAGCCATATCTTCGATTATTAATCATATCACGAGTTATATTCAACATGAGAATATAATAAATGAACACATTTGTTAATAATAGAATTGATTTCGTCGTTTTGAGCTTGCCCCCAACGTTGGCAAGCCATAATAGACAAAAAAATTTATGAAATTCTAAATTTTGTCAATTTGACAGTTTTTAAATTTAGGTAGTACCAGACCACAATAAGGCAATAAAATTATTATCGCTGTGATAGACATGTAACTAAGGACATGAACAAATTCTATTGGAAGAAATGGGGTCATGTGATACATGAATTATATTCTCAGTTATAATATAACAAGTGATATGATTATTATCGATAATATTTCGAGTGAAACCGAGCTGCAGATGTGCTGCTTCGGTTTCACGAGCCATATCTTCGATTATTAATCATATCACGAGTTATATTCAACATGAGAATATAATAAATGAACACATTTTTTAATAATAGAGTTGATTTCGTCGTTTTGAGCTTGCCCCCAACTTTGGCAAGCCATAAAAGACGAAAAAATTTATGAAATTCTAAAATTTGTCAATTTGACAGTTTTTAAATTTAGGTAGAAACCGACCACAATAAGGCAATAAAATTATTATCGCTGTGATAGACATGTAACTAAGGGCATGAACAAATCCTATTGGAAGAAATGGGGTCATGTGATCCATGAATTATATTCTCAACTAATGATATTAGGACAAATTTTGATATTTTTTACAGCGTTCTAAGAACGGCTATTGAAATCTTTATCCCTAAATCTGTTGTTGCTAATAATAAATTTCCAAATTGGTTCTCGAAAGACACTAAACTACTTATAAAGAAAAAAAAAAGACTATTTAAAAAATTCAAACTTAGTCATGATATAGGATACTTTAATAAATTTAAAGAAATCAGAAATTCTGTTAAAAGTTTGATTCATGAAGACTACAAGAAATTTATATCTTACACCGAAAACAATATCAATACCAACCCTAAATATTTTTGGACATATGCCAATTCATTAAGAAAAAACTTTGGAATGCCAAAATGGATGCTACACAATCAGGAAAATTCGAACAACCCTCAAATTATTTGTAATATGTTCGCTGATTTTTTTCAGAGTACATATACAAACCATCAAAACCAAAATATAGACGTCCCTAATTTATATGTATTCCACAGTAATAATACTCTTAGCTCAATTAAAATTTCAAACGACATTGTATTTCACAAATTATCCAATTTGAAAAATAACTTAAATCCCGGGCCAGATGGTATTCCTGCTTTCTTTATAAAATATTGTAGTCCAACTCTTACTTGGCCAATTATCCTTCTTTTTCAACTTTCTCTTGATTCTGGCACATGCTCTGAACAGTGGAAATCCTCATTTATTATCCCATTGCATAAATCTGGCTCCAAAAGTGAAGTTAACAATTACAGACTTATTGCTTCTTTGTGCTCTTTATCTAAAGTTCTGGATTCTATTGTTTCTGACCACTTAATCTCAACATTTAAAAATAATGTTTCCATCCACCAACATGGCTTTTTACCTAATCGTAGTACAGTAACTAACCTATTTGAGTATACTAATTATATCAATAACTCAATGGAACAAGGATATCAAGTCGATGCCATTTATACTGACTTCTCCAAGGCTTTTGACCGTGTTGATTTACAACTTCTTTTAAATAAATTAAAATATTATGGCGTGATTGGAAGTATTTTATATTGGATCAGATCTTATTTAACGCACAGAACGCACGTAGTCAGTATAAATGGCCATCAATCAAAAGTTATTAATGTAACCTCAGGAGTACCGCAAGGCAGTCATCTCGGTCCAGTGCTTTTACTTTTCTTTGTTAACGATATCAGAAAGTGCTTTTCTTACTGCAAAGATCTTCTTTTTGCTGATGATTTAAAATTATTTATGAAAGTTACTGATGTTAACGATACGATACTCTAAAAATTCAGCACGATATAGAATCTTTTTGGGAATGGTGTTGTAAAAATTCCATGGGCCCTAATATAGATAAGTGTAAAACCATTTTATTTACAAAAAGCAATGTACCAATTGATACTTCATATCATATCAATAATAACGTATTGTCGAAAACCGACACAGTTTTAGACCTTGGTGTTACACTAGATTCTAAATTAAATTTCAGCGTTCACATTGACAATATTTTAAGTAAGAGTTTTCGCTTATGTGGTTTTGTTAAGAGGCACTGCACAAATTTTAACAATATAATAGTAATTATTAAATTATTTTCTACGTTGGTGAGGCCAGTTCTCGAGTATTGTAGCATAATTTGGAATCCCTTCTATAAAATACATATTGATAGGATCGAAAAAGTTCAGAAGAAAATAGTAAACTTTATTTTATTTAAATTGAAGATTATAATAATATATAATATAATATTTTATTATAACCCAACAAACATAAATGTTTTTGTAGGGTATTAAAAAGAATACAATCTTACAAACTAAAGATAAATTCACTTAAAAGAAGTTCGTATCAAGTAAAAGTTTGATTCTATTCTGAAAAATAATAAAAGATTCAAAAATATCGACTTTGTTTTGAACGCTGTGATAATAACGAAACATATTTAAAAGTGGCGAGTGTAGATGCTGATTCGTATTAGGCGTTTCAAAAGAAATGCTAGTAAAGGAGCGAACTCCATAACTCGGTACCTGAAAATTAACATTGCTAAGTAAAACAGGGCTATCAATAATACTATGAATTAATTTATATAAAAATACAAGTAAATTATAAGTTCGCCTCGAATTTAAGCTTGGCATATTAAACTGATCTAAAAGACTATCGTATGATACATTCCTATAAGGATAAGTGCCAGACATTACAAAATATAAATGTTTTAAGTGTTTTTTCTGAACACGCTCAATTGCATTGATATGTACATTGTAATAAGGACTCCATATTACGCTTGCATACTCTAATCTACTACGAACAAGAGTCTTATACAACAATTTTATACATTCTAGACTTCTAAACTCACGTGTATTACGATTTATAAAACCTAACATTTTAACGGCAGTGTTAACTATATAATTAACATGAGGCACAAAAGACAAACTAGAATCCATTATAACCCCCAAATCTTTAAATTCATTACATCTATCAATTTCCTCGTTGTTTATATAATAACTGCTTAC